TTAAGTAATATAAGAAAGATTATAGGTGGTTATCTCTGTGTGGTGGGTTTTAATTTTCATCTTTATACTTTCCTGTTTTTTTTCAAAGTACTTATATATACTTATATACACTATACTGTTTTCAAAGTATAGTATATTTTTACTATTAAAATAAAAACAGCGGCCAGACATGGTGGCTCACACCTGTAATCCCAGCACTTTTGGAGGCCAAGACATGTGGATTACCTAAGGTCGGGAGTTCAAGACCAGCCTGGCCAATATGGTGAAACCCCATCTCTACTAAAAATACAAAAATTAGCCGGGTGTGGTGGTGTGTGCCTATAGTCCCAGCTATTCAGGAGGCTGAGGCAAAAGAATCGCTTGAACCCATAACCCACTGCTTTGGGAGGCCCAGGTGAAAGAATGTCTTGAGATTAAGAGCTTAAGACCAGCCCAGGCAACATAGCAAGATCCTATTAAAAAAAAAANAAAAAAAAAAAAAAAATTAGCATGGTGGCAGGCACCTGTAGTCCTAGCTATTCATGAGACAACCAGGAAGATGGTGTAAGCCCAGGAGTTCAAAACCACTCAACTCCAGCCTTTGTAACAGTGAGGCCTTATCTCAAGAAAAACAACAACAAAAAAGGCCAGTTGCAGAGGCTCACTCCTGCAATCCCAGCACTTTGGGAGGCGGAGGCTGGTGGATTGCTTGAGCCCAGGAGTTCGAGACCAGCCTGGACAACATGGCAAAACCCCATCTCTACTAAAAACACAAACATTGGCAGGGTATGGTGATTCATGCCTGTACTCCCAGCACTTTGGGAGGCCAAGGCAGGCAGATAACTTGAGGTCAGGATTTCAAGACCAGCCTGGCCAACATGGTGAAACACTATCTCCACTAAAAATACAAAAAATTAGCCAGGCATATTGGTGGGTGCCTGCAATGCCAGCTGCTCAGGAGGCTGAGGCTGAGAATCACTTGAATCCAGGAAGAGGAGATTGCAGTGAGCTGAGATCATGCCATTGCACTCCAGCCTAGGCAACACAGAAAATAAAATAAATAAAGTCATTAAAAAAATTTTTTTTGCCATAAAAATGTTTTATTAGGCCAAACTACACACTATTAAAATGCTTTAAAATGCAGGAGGAGATGTAAAGACTCAAAGAAGTGTATAGTGACAATGGCTATCAGAACAACAACACTAAAAAATCCACACTGCTTCCCCCTTTACCTAGAAAAGGAAGCTTCTAGGCTACCTTCTCCTCAGCACACTCCTCAAATTCCTCCTCCTCAGCCGTGGCATCCTTGTATTGCTGGTATTCGGACACCAGGTCATTAGGTTGCTCTTGGCCTCAGTGAACTCCATCTCATCCATGCCCTCGCCTGTGTACCAGTGCAGGAAGGCCTTGTGCCTGAACATAGCTGTAAACTGTTCAGAGACGTGTTTGAAGAGCTCCTGGACGGTTGTTGTTACTGATGAAGGTGGCTGACATTTTTAGCCCCCAGGGTGGGATGTCACAGACGACTGTTTTCATGTTGTGAGGGAGCCACTCAGCAAAGTAGCTGCTGTTCTTGTTCTGGATATTGAACATTTGCTCATCCACCTCCCTCATGGATATGCTACCTCTGAAAATGGCAGCCACGGTTAGGTAGCGGCCACGACGGGGGTCACAGGCAGCCATCATATTCTTAGCATCAAACAGCTGCTAGGTGAGCTCAGCCACAGTCAGGGCCCGGTACTGCTGAGCTCAGCCATAGTCAGGGCCTGGTACTGCTGGCTGCCCCAGCTGGTCAGCAGGGCAAAGCCAGGCATGAAGAAGTGTAGCTGGGGAAATGGAGCCATGTTCATGGCCAGGTTTCACAGGTCAGCATTCAGCTGGCCTGGGAAGGGCAGGCACATGGTGACCCCACTCATGGTAGCAGACACCAGGTGATTCAGGTCACTGTAGGTGGGTGTGGTCAGTTTTAAGGTCCTGGAACAGATTTTATAGAGCGCTTCATCTACATTTTCTATGAGCTAGTGGATGGAGTGGACAGCATTGTAGGGCTCCACCACAGTGTCTGACACCTTGGGTAAGGGCAGGATGCTGAATGTGTTTATGATCCTGTCTGGGTACTCCTCCTGAATTTTGCCATTAGAAGGGTACCCATCCCAGACCCAGTCCCCCCACCCAGGGAGTGGGTCAGCTGGAAACCCTACAGGCAATCACAGCTCTCAGCCTCTTTTCTCACAATGTGCATCACTGACTCCATCAGCTCTGCACCTTCTGTGTAGTACCCCTTGGCCCAGTTGTTCCCAGCCCCACATTGACCAAAGATGAAGTTGTCTGGCCTGAAGATCTGCCCGAAGAGCTCCAAGCGCACAGAGTCCATGGTGCCCAGCTCCAGATCCATGAGCACAGCATGGGCCACAGGCCTGGACCACAGTACTGAAGCAGACATAGATGCCAGACCTGGTGCCTGAGCCTCTGGAAGCCCAAATGCTGCCACAATTCCAGCCACAGGTCATGCAGGTCAAGGGCCAGGTGCAGTCACAGACTCAGCCACGGATACCACCCACAGACACCCCGGAGCAGCCAAAGCTGCAGAAGCAGGCACAAACACAGACTTCTCCAGAGCACTTAGACCTGCAACAGAAGCAAGTGCAGCCACAGCTGCAGCAGAAGGCAGAGCCACAGAAGCAGGTACAGCCACAAATACAGCCACAGGCACATTCACAGGCCCCAAGGGAGGTGCAGCTGCAGCAGGAAGCAGAGCTACAGAAGCGGCTGCAGCCCCAGGCACATTCACAGCCCCCAAGGTAGGTGCAGCTGCAGCCGCAGAAGCAGGCCCAGACACAGATATATCCACAGGTCTACACACAAGCACAGCCAAGGGTCCAGTCACAGGAGTAGCCCCCAGTGCAGGTGCCAGTACAGCCACCAGTGCAGACCAATAAGCAGCCTCAGACCCAGCCACAGGTGTCGGTGCTGGCTCCAGAGCAAGTACCAGTTGTGGTTCATGTCTGCGGGCTGGAGACGCCACCTGATACAGTAGAAGCCAGTAGAGGCATGGAAAAGGCCTTGCCAGAGCCTGTGGGCACCCAAGTCAGCATGGAAGAGAACCAGATGGAGCCGGCCAGTGGCCTAGATGTGAGAGAATGTAAAAACAGAGTGTAGGGTGCTGGGGGCTTCCTGAAGGTCACCATTTTGCAGAGCAGTGACAGTCAGCCTTTAGGGTTGTACACCTGACACCCGTGCCCCACCCCAGTGACTTGCTTCTCCACGCCTGTGGCTACAAGCACATTCTCTAAGCAGACCCTCCAGTTCTTCTGCTACATCTGCAAGGCCAGCTGCTCCAGCTAGCAGCAATTCCAGGACCACATGAATCTCAGCCTCAGCACCACCAGTAGCTAGGGGAGATCCAGCACATGAGCCAAGCTTGCCTCCTGTCCCTGCTGCCCGTGCCCCGGGACATCCTGGATACAGAGGATGAGAAGCATCCACCTAACAATCTGAGGTAGAACAGTTTCATCCTGAAACCACTCCCCCAAACCCCACCCCAGTCATGGAAAAACTGTCTTCCACAAACTGGTCCTTGGTACCAAAAAGATGGATCTGCGTTTTCAAGTTCACTAAAAACCTTCTGGAAATTATTTGCCATTCTAGATGCCATTAAGAACATGTGTGATTCATGGGAGGAGGTCAAAATATCAACATTAACAAGAGTGTGCAACAGGTTGATTCTAAACCTCATAAATGACTCTGAGGGGTTCAAGTAACTACAAATGTGGTAGAAACATCAAGAGAACTGGAATTAGGAGTGGAGGCTGAAGATGTGACTGAATCGCTACAATCTCATGATACAACTTGAACAGATGAGGAGTTACTTGCCATGGATGAGCAAAAAGAGTGGCTTATTGTCTGGAACCAAACTCACAGTATCTTCAAGGTATGCTTACAGTAAGCCTATATTTAGCTTTATTTAAAAAACTATCAAACTGTAGCACAAAGTCACTGTATGTTCCTGTTGCTCCACATCCTCATCAGGCATTAGTACTATATTTTTAGCCATTGTGGTAGGCATGTAGTGGTTATCTCATTATTCAAATTTGCAATTATCTAATGACATATGATGTTGAACAACTTTTTCATGCTTATTTGCTATATCTTCTTTTGTGAGGTGCCTGCTCAGATATTTTATCTACTTTTTTTTATTGGTTTTTCTTATTGTAGAGTTTTAAGAGTTCACTGTATATTGTGGATACAAATCCTTTATCAGATATATTTTGCAAAGTTCTTAACCCAGGTTGTGGCGTATCCTTTCATTTTAAGTGTCCTTCACAGAGCAGTATTTTAATTTTAATAAAGTCCAACTTACTGTTTTCTTCCATGAATCATGCTTTTGGTGTTGTAGCTAAAAAGTCATCACCAAAGTCAGTGTCAGTCCTCCAACTTTGTTTTTCTTAAAAATCTTGGCAGCTATTCTGGGTCTTCCCCTTATTAACTTTAAAATTTTGTCAATATGCACAAGAACCTTACTGGGATTGTTACTGAGATTTCATTGAATCTGTTGATAAAGTTAGGAAGACATAACACCTTAACGATATTTAGTCTTCCTATCCATGAACATGGAATATCCTTCTATTTATTTCTATCTTCAATTTCCTTCATGAGACTTTTGTAGTTTTCCTTACATAGATCTTGTACAAAGGCTTTTATTTCCTTCCTTCTTTCTTCTCTCTCTCTGTACTCTCTTTTCATGCTAATGTAAATGTTTTAAATTTCTAATTCCAAATGTTTGTCCCTGGTACATATAAGAAAGTAATTGAATGTGTATGAATCATACATTCTCCGTAAACTTGCTATATTTAGATTTTAGTTCCAAACTATTTTTCATTGAGACACAGGAATTTTGTCTTATTGCATTAGCAAGAACTTCCAATGCAACATTAAATAGGAATGATGCAATCTACTTGCCTTGTTTCTGTTCTTAGACGGAAAGCATCTGATGTCCCACCATTAAGTATGTTAGCTGTAGATTTTTTTTTTTTGGTGTAAAATGATTTTTTATTGCCCAGGATTTTTTTTTCTTGTGTCTTGCTTTTTTGTTTGTTTGTTTTCTTTTTAGTAACTATCAACTCAAGCTTAGGGAAGCTTGTCTTTGTCTTAAGGGAAAAACCAACTAGAAAATAAAGCTTCTTTGACATCATTTGCTAACCTGATCTCAGTTTAAGAGATAAATGGTAGTTATGTTGAAAGAGTAAAATTTATACCATGAATGATACAGGTCTAGTCTGGTGGTACTAATTAGATATAACAGCATTGTTGACAAAATTATAATCTGCTGGTGGCATTTGTGGAAAAGAAGCCCTTGCAAATTTCTAAACAACAGTAAACTGTTGGGAAATTCTAAAATGTCCTACGGGCCAAAAAGGGTATAAGGTTAGTAAAATGCCTCAACAGAGTTTGAATAAAATACTGGATTTGAGAGTTACTGGAATTGGATATGTAAAAACAGGGTGGTAGGCTGCGTCATGCTTACAATGGTCTCAAGTTCAAATAAGCTACTGTGACAATACACCACTTCACAGGTCACATACATTTCCAGGGGCTTTTCCTTTCCCTCAGTAGGTGCTGGCAGAGGGTGTGCTCAGTCGCTTTCCAATATAGATGCCTAGCCCCAAAGCCAAAACATGAGAAAGGAAGAGAGATGGAATGAATGAACACCTTTAGAAATTCTGTGGAGAAGATACCCCCTTTCTTCATGGCTTCACTTTTCCTCAGGCTTAGAGACACAGAATGTTTAGGGTGTCTGAAGTGGAACTCCTTGGGTGGAACGTTTTCGGGTCTACTGGACCAGTCTGACAATCAATCTGCACCTTTCTTCAAAGCCTCAAATTTCTTTCTCTCCTTCTACAACTTCTTCTTCCGACTGAAAGCTATGGTCCCTGCTGGTGTGCATTTCCACATCAAACATGATCTGCCCATCTTCTTATGGCAAAGGGCTGTCACAGTGAGAACTGCCTCTTGAACTACTCTGTCCTGATTCATGTTGTGCATCCAAAAGAATCTTCTCCATGTCTCCATTGTGAATGGAGGATGAGGAAGGTACGTGTTCTAGCCCCCATTTTTCCCATTGCCATTACTGCTATTCATGGGTAGCTCCACCCCGGAACTGTTGAGGCCAGCAGGCGGGGGCGGAGACTGGTCACTTTCCTCGCAGTTATTGTTGTGCAGGGACAGCGGTGGCTCGACTAGGTGGGACACTGTCAGGTGGCTAGCAGTGCTGCGGCAGCTGCAGGACTGTCTCCGGCTCTCAGGCAGCAACACCAGCTGTAGGTTTTTTTGTAGATATTCTTTATGAAGTTGAGGATTTCCTTATATTCCTAGCTGGTTGATAATTTTGTCTGTCTTTATCATAAATAGGTGTTGGTTTTGTCAAACGGTTTATCTGTGTCTATTGATAAAATCATGACTTTTCTCCTTTAGTGTGATAATGTAATAAATTATATGAACTGATTTCAATGTTGAACCAGCCTTGCATACCTGAAATAAATCCCGCTTGACTCTGGTATATTTTGTTATATATTGTTGCATTAGATTTGCTAATATTCTGTTGAGAATTTTTATAGCTATGTTCATGAGAGATACTGGTTTGTGGTTGCCCTTTCTTGTAATATTTTTACCTAATTTTGTTATCAGCGTTATGTGGCCTCACAGAATGTGTTAAAGCATTTCCTCTGCTTCTATTTTCTAGAACAGATTGCAGAAAATTGGCATCACTTTCTCCTTGAATGGTAGACTTCACTAGTGAAACCATCTGAGACCAATGCTTTGCTTTGGAAGCACATAATTGACTGAATTTATTTTGTAAGTTTATGCAAAGCCATTATTTCTCCTTGTGTGAGGTTTCACAGAATTGGTCCATTTCATGTTATCAAATTTGCACACAAAGAGTTGCTCATAACATCCCTTTATTATCCTTCTAAAGTCCTAATGTTCATGAGAACAGTAATAAAGGCACCTCTTTTCATTTCTGATTTCAGTAATTTTTGCTTTTTCTTTTGGTATGACAAAGTTTTATAAATTTTAACTTTTCATTGAATTTCATTCATTTCATTGAATTTATTGCTCTTGGTTGAATTTTATTGATTTCTACTCTATTATTTCTTCTGCTTACTTTGGATTTAATTTGCTCTTCTAATTTCCTAAGGTAGATGCATATTGATTTTAGATCCTTCACGTTTTCCAATATATGCATTCAATACTATAAATTTCCCTCTAGCCACTGCTTTTGCTGCATCTCACAAATTTATCAAACTTGTATTTTCATTTATTTAGTCTCTTGACACTTCTTTGACCCATGTGTTTAGAAGCATGTTCCTTAATCTCAAAATATTTTGGGATTTTCCAGGTATTTTTATTATTTATTTCTAGTTTAAATCCCTTGTAAAGACATACCTTCTATGGTTTTTTTTAAATGTTAATTACCCCTTTATCACCATATGATGTCTCTCATAATCCTTCATCATTTTCCTTGTTCTGAAGTCAGTTTTATATGAAATTAATATAGCTATTCCAGCTTTCTTTTGATTAATGTAGTTTGATAGGATAGTTTAATCTAGGCTACCATAACAAAATACCATATACTGGGTGTCTTAAACAACAGAAATTTTCATTTACTCAAATTTCTGAAGACTGAAAGTCTGTGATCAGGGTGTCAGCATAGTCAATTTCTGGGGAAGGCTCTCTCATTTGCAGACAGCTACCTTCTAGTTGTATTCTCACATGGCAAAGACAGCAAGCTTTCTACGTCCCTTCTTATAAGGATACTAACCTTATCTTAGTCATGGTGCCATCTAACCTTAATTATCTTCCAAGATCCCTATCTCCAAATACTATCACACTAGGAGTTAGGGTTTCCAACACATAAATTTGGGGAGCAAGGGAGAACATGAACATTCAGTCCATAACACATGATGTATCTATCTCTTTACTTTTAATCTTTCTCCATCTTTAAAGTGGTTTTCTTTTTAGTCTTGCCTTTTAATCCACTGTGACAGTATCTGTGTATTTAGGCAACTCATATTTAAACTAATTGATATAAATGACTATATTTGTTAATGTTTTCTATTAATTACTTTTCTTTTGTTCTTTTTGTCTTCCACTTTTCTGCCTTCTCTAAATTTAATCCAGTATCTTGTACAATTCCATTGTCTCTGCTCTCTTACCAGGATTAAACAGATACATAACAATTCACCATCATGTGAATTGGCTCTCTGATTATTACAAAACAAGATTCATTAAAACGAATGAACTTCTGGACACAAATGGCAGAAGAGAATGATAATGTAACGTGAAAAATAATACCATGTATCAAACAGTGGTTATCCCACGCAGGGAGGACCTAGATAGGAAATATCAAAGGAAATTTCAGTTTTATCTCTATTATCTGCATTAATTTTTTGTATAATCAAAACTGTTAAAAATTTTTCATCTCTACATGCTAAAAAAAGCAAGATTCCATCAAAACAAAGTTGGAGGATAAACAATAAACTAGGGAAAGTATTAAGAATATTAAAAGTAAGCTATTAGCATGCAACTTTCCATTAATTTTTGAGTCAACATGTCGTAAAATGCAATAAAGTATTTGGTACACTACATTTAGCAACTGGTAGCATATTGACATACCCATAAAAACTTTTAGAAAAATACAGTCTATTGATAGGCATTGCAAGCATAAGGATTACATTTTTTTTTCTTTTGAGATGGAGTTTTGTTCATCACCCAGGCTGGTGTGCAGTGGCGAGATCTCAGCTCACTGCAACCTCTTCCTCCCAGGTTCAAGTGATTCTCCTGCCTCAGTCTCGAAGTAGCTGGGATTACAGGCATGCACAACCCAGATTACATATTTTTAACGTTTTCATTAGCAAACACCAAAGGCATTTTGCTAGGGCTCCATAAACAACAGTGCCATCTTCGCTGAAGAATTCTTGTCAGACCTACACTGCCATTTCTTCCCTCTCCAGCAACTTCAAAGAGTAAAAAGTTGCTCCCTCTTCAATATTCAACTGGAGTATTCTAGGAGGTACTTTATGTATCACCTTTCCCTAAAAGAGTTACATTCCCTAAAATATAATAGTACTTGCATTTTCTACAGAGGGATTTGGTATAATTGGAATATTATTTGTTTACTTTAGAAAACATGAAGTAATTAAGATAAGCAAGAAACCTGGATAATATACAGCAGAAAACACTTTCAAGTAAAAAAGTAAACAGAAATTTCTCTTAGAAAACTAATGATACTAAATGGATTTATGATTCTCTAATTTAG